AGCATCATCGATATGAATGGAGACTATTTCATTTATAAATGTTTTGTTTCGTTATACAAGTTGTTCAGGTTTTTTCATCTAAAAAAAGTGACATTAATTTCTTGACAACTCAATAAAACCTTATCAATATTATATGCATGGTAAAAATTTCACTGTTCAAATGGATTATGAATTGCCAAAATGGTTGATTAATTTTAAAAATCTCAAAGAAATGATAGCATGCTGGATAACAATGCCACAGGGAAATGATTTACTCATACATTATTGTCCAGGCTCAAAACCAAGAAAATGTAGACTGAGTGTCTTGCCACACAGTGAGATCCTGTCCATTCCTGAACCTGAACATTGTGTGGGAATTAATACCATTTTAACCATAGCAACAACAAGCCATACAATAGGAGACTCCATTACTGGACAGATGCTACGATTAACACTATGGGAGCTCCAGGAAAGCAACTGAAGGAACCACATCTAGCATGGATAGTCTTAGCTGTGCAGAGAGATAAAGCATGACTATCCAGGTTGAGGAACACAGCATGGACGCATGTAACCTATATCACTTGTACAAGCAGTTATGAGTGTATGAATGTCTGCTGTGCCATTGTTTACCAATGAGCCATGGTTCTCAGCTTATGTTAGAGCTAGTGGTCTCCAATACTTGAGGCAAGATATTCTACAGACTTTGCCTGGTAAAAGGACTGGAGATGACTAGGATGTTACCCATGCTTTGGCTGCCTTTGGTTCGTGTCATTCTACTGAGGTCACACCTGTTCTGCTCATAGGTGGAGTGGCTGTAATACTGCATCATCAGAATATCATCGCTGGTATTTCAAGTGGTATCACAAAGTTATGGCCTACCCTATGTTTCAGTAAGAATAACCAGTCATGCGTATACCACTTGCTATTCTGATTAAATCAGACATTAGCTGTGAAGTACAGAATATTGAATTTAAACAGTCTGGTAGATGATCTTGGCTTGAGCAACATAGAAAGAATGTTACCTGTTCCGGTAAAAGTGACCATCACATGTCTATAAAGCAGGTACACACACATGTTTTTTTGTGAATTAATAGATTGTTTACTTGTATTATTACATTGTTTGAGTCTTTTTCTTTTTTAAACTCAGTTATTCAGAGATTCATTACTTCTTTACTACTTTACAATAAATATCCTGTTGGAGATCCTGCTATTAAGTGGACTTATCCCATCATTCTAAGGTTTAATCAGTTTTACCTCAACATAGCACACTAGTACAAGTTCTTTCCTGACAAACAAACTTGTAAGGCTGGAAAAAAATGGTGATAGACTAGAAATTTACAATAATGAATATTTATGTTTACCTTTTTGGTATTATGGACAAGAAAGGTGTGGTTGACTTTTCTGTGTAATACACAACTTTTGTAACTCTGCTTCTGTCACTGAAGTGTACATCTTGTAATTTGTTATAAGAAACTGCAAGAGATTTATGAATAAATAGTTATACTGTGCTTAAAAATATTATTTAGAGAGCAAATTATTCTGAATGTATATTGTTAATGCAAATACATGAATATGAAGTTAAACAAACATGTTAGAAAATAAAGAAACTGAAGATATAACAATAAAAATAGCAAGTAAACTGTCACTAGATGGCAAACATAATATTCAAGGTATTCATAAGGGTTTGTATTATCATCTAATTGAAACGTTTTTAAGGTTAAACTGTGAGTATGTCATCATCAAAAAGAAGCTTTTAAAGTTTTACAGAGAATGATTGTTGTAAAAAAAACTTCAGGTGAATATTTATACGTTACATTTGGTGTTGTAATTTAGTAAAATACAAAGATCATATTAAAGATTTTTATTGTTTTCGTTAGATAATAAATTTTGGTTTCAATTTAATCTCTTTGTCATAGATCAAAATAATGTGGATTAACTCCTGCAACACCAGTTAGTACAAAGTGACAATTTATTTTGTAAATTTGAACAAAAGAAATCTATTGGAAGTTTACTGGGTGTTAAACAATAATCAGAGAAGTATCTTCTAGTTTTATTATTGGTTTTGCAGCCATCCTACAATTGAAAGAAATGCTCAAGCATGGAAAAGAAAAAAACATCAGAAACAAAAATTTTCAAAAACATATAATTTAATGCCTTTCAAAATAAGGATTCTGTTTATTGGTTACCAGATATATGATAAAGCAGAACAAAAGAAAGAATTTCAATGTAAACTTCCCAACATTAATTAAAGTTCTCAATACTAGCAGAAACACCACCCCATGGGTAAATGTTTGTGCTAGTTAATTGTAGTATTCATACCTCACTGAAAAAAAATTTAGAAAATGTGAACATTTTCTAAAAAAGGGAATTTTGGGGGGAAGTACTACAAGGGAAAAGTGTTCAGATTATGCTCTTTAGTCATATGCAACTCAATGCATCAAAATGATTCAATGTACAGAGCTAAAAATTTTCATAAATTTTACTGATATAAAATTTAATGTTTTTATATATTAAAAGTGCTACCCTTTGTTGAAAAAAATAATAGTTTTTAAGAACTCTAATTTCTCAGTACAGCATTCAAGAATTACATCAGTAAAGATATAATCAAACCCTTTTGTACAGTCCTAGTGAAAATTGCATTCTTGTTGTGAGAAGAGTACTTTTATTTAAAATTGTGTTCTATTATAAAGAAATGGTTGTTGCACATACCACAGTTATTTTTCTCATTGTCTGGATCGTGAATACCCAAAGTGTGAAATTTTGTATGGATTTCTCTTTGTGGTGCCATTCAATAGATGATGCAGGAGTTTTGGTTACATACATAGATACTGACATACATGCTAAGTCCATTATAATAAGATTAATATTGCATATTATTATATCTCTACAGTATGTAAATTAAAAGATAAATTTGTAGCTTGTCTATATAGTGTATAGTGCTTAAAGAAATAATAAAGCACATATTTCTCTACTTTATTAACAAAGTTACAAGTCTCTAGTAGACATTTCATTAGAATACTGAAATCAAATAACACATTTACTGTCATGTAAAGTTACCAGGACCTTAGATTCTCAAAGTTTAAACCTTGTGGATCATTTTGACATAAGCAAGGTCCTTATTGATCCAAAAGAAATTTTTCCTGGTCCAAGGGACTAAATTACAGTTTGTTTCTTTGTTGTTTTTTACTTTAAAGAAGTTGTATATTTTGATTTTTAATCTGTGTAAAAGAAAACTATGACTGCAATACTTAATCAAATAATTCCTGAAATAGTACTAAAATGTTGAAAAAGTAAAAAAAAATATTTTCAGTGTAGGAAGAGACTCTTGCAATACCTATGTACAAAAATCAAAAGATTACATAGAACATTTTACAAATTATGAAGAATATAAACATATAGACTTTCTTCAAAGTTTGTCTAGTCTTAAGAACATAAAATGAGTGTTTCAATAGTACTAGTTGTAGAATAAAATAAAAGCTTATAATAATTTTTTGAGGTGCCATCATAATAATTTTGAAATACAAAATCTGAAGAAATTTCCTGATTTAATTGTTAAATCATCAAATAACATATAAATTTAATAATTTATGATGTAAAGTGTAATTCTTTGGAATATTTAATTTTTATCTTCCTGCAAAGCTACACAATTGGCTATTTGCACTTTGTCCACTACAGTGAATCAAACCCTAGATTTTAGCATTGTAAGTTTAGAAACTTAGTGCTGACTCACAAGGTGATAGAATGTTTAGAGAACAACCTTCTTTAAATATTTAACAAAAACTGTAAACTTTTTTATGTTATGAATTTATATACAAGATTACTGAAAAGATCTACTGAGCTTTCAATAGAACTAACTACCCATTTCATAGAATTTTGAGTGTTAAGTTTCTTGTAGTGACGACAATGTTTTTTCTTCATAATAACAATTTCAGTAAATATTTTACTTTGATTTATAATATATTAGTTTTATTATTACATGAAATAAGGTATATTCAAAACTAATAAGTAATTTTAACTAAAAAAATATTCCAGGTGGCTACACAATTTTTTTAAGCTGTAGCACAAACACTATATGTTTTTGTCTGAAAACGTTCTAAAAAATCTGACATTTTTTAATTCTACTACTGAACCAGAGCAGTTTAGAGAAGCATGAGCAACTTAAATCTTCACCTATAAAACAAATGTGCAAATGATATAATTTGCATCTAAAGACAGAATTACAGTTTATAAGTGATGCCACAGCAGCAAAATCATGATAACAGCTTGAACATCTTTTAGAGCTGAATAATAGCTAACTGATAAAGAAGGGTGTAGTATGATAAGACAATGGGTAATATGTACATATAAAATGGAATTATCCACCTTAATGCCACCCTATGTGCCTGTTGGCCAAATGGCTAGGTACAGCTGTCTTATTTTCAAACTATCAATCACAGGACTTTGGCTGGTTCTTTTAAGTGAACAAATGGATTAACTATCATGTTTATAATGTGTGTCCACAGCTGAAAAAGCAGAGTGTAATCCTGCAGCATCATATCTCAAAAGCTAAACTCCTCAATCCACAGCCTGATATGCTGACCATGACATCACACCCAGCTCCTTTATACATTTGTGTGTGTGTGCATAATAAAATTGAAATGGATACACAAAAGATAAGAAAATGTCAACTAATATGCAAACATTGTGCCTTACCTTGGGGATTATTGTGGACAACTTCATCAGGTGAATGTTGGGAGCCATGTCCAGAGGTATTATGAAACTCACCATTATGGTGTTTTGACATTTGTGGATTTATCTAAATTAGAAAAAACATTTTCTTAAACTGGAAACTAATTTTAATGATACTCAATTCTCTTAAGCTTGGATGATTAGGAGAAATTGGTTAGAAATCATACTTAAAATCTATTTTTATCCATCAATATGGTCAATTGGATCAGAAACAGAAATGCACACATTGTATATCAACTAAAAATTAAAAACTATAGATTATTTAACAAATTAATACAAGTGGATTCTTTTTTTCCACTTAAATTATGCAAAATACATAACTGTGAAGTTACACTGCCCATCAGTTAGTTCCTACTGTATTTCTAATGTTTTTCCATTGACCTTTATTATCAAAAGTACAGCATTGTTCAGAAATACATCATGCCCAGGAAAATAACAATATGCTTCACAAGTAGCTTAAAATGTTTTTTACCTTTGAATAATGAAAAATATACTTGTAAAGACAGTATAGTGCTTAAAAGGTTTAAACTAAAAATAAAAGCCTGGTGACAAGAAAAAACCTCAAGTGTTTTTTGTTGTTTTTTTATCAGTTCTAACTTAATAATTCTATGCAGAACCATTTCACAGTTAGTTTGAATATTATATATTACACCACCATTGTGTTATTCTTTCCGAGGGAAAAAGGGATTAATTTTAACTTAGGAAGTCATGAGTAAATAACAATGTTAGGAGAATAATTGCTCTTATCTTTATTATAGTATTGTTTTAAGTAAATTCTAGTCACCTAGAAAACAGTTCTTTCTGCATTGATTATGTAAAAAGATTAACTTTATGGTTTAGAAAAAGGAAACCAGATTACCATCATTCCATAAAGAATAAAAATATACCAAAAAAATACTAGTTCTGTAAAAATCCATTTAGCAAATATAAATAACACAGTATGCTCAACAAATTGATAAATGATTACACCAAACATAAAAGCATTTGAAAATGAGATTTATCATAATTATCCAAACAAACACAACATTCAGACAAACTAGTGTCACAACTGATAAAACCTAATTAACTTAGCATAAAATCACTTAATTGTAATGAATTTTACATATTTGGATTCCAGCCCATTTCATTTAAGATCCTTCTTGCTTAACAATTTTATCACTAAATGATATTTTATATAACCAGCTTTACCCTATAATGAATAAATAGTACATAACATCTATTTAACGCTGACACAGATATGACATCAGAGTTCAAATTTACCTATGATATACACACGTAAACCTCAAACTAGTTCTGTGTCAAACCTTTAGATCAATATGTATTTTGGAATTTTCTAAATAAATATGTTTCTATTGCATCTATTTTATGACCTCGTAACTTAATAATGTCATTAATTTATCTTTATTTATCTAATTACAAGTTTGCCAAATATTGCTAAAAACATAGATATGTAGCTTATCATAAATAGTCTTTTATTAAAAAAAAATATTTTCAAGTGTATATTTTACATGTATGATTCAACCATGACATAAATTTCTTTATACTTTTATTTTGGAGCAAATAAAACCATATAAAAGATTGTAATCAGAATCTGATTTCTAGAAGTTTCAAGTGAAAATGTTTTCTATTTCTGAGCTCTTAGTTTATATAGAAATCTTTATAAAATAAAAATAAGGGGAAAATGATAAGGTATTGTCATGTCAAGCTATATAACAGGAAACAATTCTAACCCTACACTATACACACCAATTCAGATTTTAAAAGTTCGTAATATAAAATTGTATGAACTCTGTGCTAATCTTCAGTACTTTTGGGATTTATACTTCAGCTGTATGTCATGAAACATTCCATATTATTTCTTTTTGTGGGTATTTAAGTTACAATCCTTTTAAAGGTTAAAAAATTAAGGGAACTGTCTTAAGATAATCTGTTGCAGTTTCACAAGTTATTTTTGGTGTTCCTGGCTCTTACTTATTACAACAATTTGACAATCAGTACACTTCACTCATGATATCCAGAACCCTTGTTATTTATTTTGAAGAGTTATGGTTTAGTCTACATATTAATTAACCATGTATTTATAGAAATAATACTTTCCTAAATCACACCTTATTAACACCACAAAAGTGTCATGACTACCTTGATGTTAGGACAATAACCAGCTTTACACATGTTAGGCCCAACAAACCTAGGATATGTTAATGAGTACAACAATACTCATAACCCAGTTTTTAATAAAAGGTTGGACAGACATTGGGTTAAACTGGATACTCCTGCAATCTTCCCCTCCCTTCTGTAATGCAGTATATAACATATTACATTATTATATGTGCCACATGATATCCAAGGTTATTGCTGCCTATTCAAGCTAGTAACAACTATAACACACATCCAAAACATATCACATGATTCAAATGTTATAACAAAATATTCTAATGAGAATGTCACATTGATAATACACACATCATTAATATCATCATTACATGACAAAACAATCACATGTAAGGTAAAAGTAACTATTAAGTTAGCATACAATTCTAAAACAATTCATTAGCATCAAGTGAATGAGGATAGGTATAGAGTTAAACTACTGATAAATACTCTTTTCATTTGTCTCTAGCTAAAGATCCATAAAGAATTGGATATGATAGTATAAAATATTTAATATGGCACTTTGTCATATACACAGTAAAGGTTTTTCTCACATCACAAGCTAGGTACATTAGGACTTAAAATTCTAAAATACTGTTTTTTAACATTAACATGCATTAGATATTTGAATCTATTATTCAGCCTTATAATTATTAAATATTATTACAATAATTTATATATACATTAAAGGTGGGCAATTAGTGGAATTTCTAATTGATCCTTCTTGTATAGTTGGAATAATAAAAAATTGTAACAATCGGAAATATTAATTTCGATTCGATGGTTACTTTCGTGAGTCATGCAGTAATCAATTAAGCTGAACAATCTTATGTATTAAAAATAATAATGGCCATATTTCAGTTACTTGGATAGTTGGAATAATTAAAAACAGTAATAATAAGGATAACTATTCTCAATTAGTTAATTATTTTTTTGGCACTGACTTAATTGTAATTTTGATAAATTAAATACTTCACATGATAGTAATTGATGTAATTAATGCTCATAGATAATAAATTATATTGATAAATTCAATTAATCACCCAGCTCCAGTAGACATTATTTTATGTCTGAGATATAAACCACATGGAATAATAAAGCAATTACAATTACACTCTTAGCTATGCTAATGAAATTAATAAGAATGCATTTTTTTACTGGCTCAAGTCTGATAACCATTTTGTATTTTTTTATTAAGAGCATCAGATATTTTCTGTAGATGACTAAGGATGAAAACATACCAATGTATTATATATATATACACACATTACATGTACACAAATGAAATTAAATTCTTACCTGAGCTTCTTCTAGAGCATTAACCCTTTCTAACAAGGATGCTAGACTCTGCTCGATGGTATCTAATGTATGTTGATATGGGTCAGTAGGTGCAAAACACAGTCTCAAACAGGAAATAGCTTCTTTCACAACCTTCAGTTCTTCTCTGTGCTATACAGCAAAAAGACAACTTTTTTAAACAACATTCAGTTATTAACCTACAAATCACAATTACAATTCATTCAAATATTTTAACTGTCAATGTTTTCAAATTAAGCCTTAAAACACAGAATGACATTAATTAAAATCACTGTTTTTATACCTGATATCAAATTATGTAGCTAAGAATCAGTTCTAAATGCAAGTTTTGGAGAAGTAACAACAATCTCCCAAGCACTACTTCAATAACAGTTTTATGGACTTATGCATTTCCACTTCAAACAAATGAACTGGAAACTTGTTTTGTTCAATAATAGTAGTACACTTTATCTTAATAACTACACAAATGTAGTATGTGAGACAGTGTGTGTTTTTTTATAGCAAAGCCACATCAGGCTATCTGCTGTGTCCACCGAGGGGACAGTATGCGAGAGCTTTTTTATCATTTCATATGAAGTAGCCACATGTCTAATTCTTACACTGATAAATACAAATGTCAATTTGAACATTTTCAGTTATTACTCCTCTTTTGTCTCATTAAGCACCAATGTAAGGTTAACCATAGATTATAAAGAATTGGTTATGATACACTTCTATTTTTCAAATGTTTATATAAGTTGTACAGAAAACCAACTTGTTCATTAGCTAGTTTATTACACAGTGATACACAATGACTTAAATAGTTAGCTATTCTTACATACTTTGTTCAGTTCAAATTGGTTAACCAGCTGAACTTGTTGGATTTCTAGACTGTACTAGAAGGCACATAAATCTCAAGCTTGTAAGTTTTAAGATAATTAAGATACATACCTGTCATGCTTTCAAATTTTTATTGAGTTAAAGTTCAGAGTTAAATTACTTGATTAGTTCATTTGAGCATGCTCAATGTTGAAAAAAAATCTAAAATTCATTACTACCACTGAAAACTTTGTACATATCCAAGAATGTCATATGTTCTAGTTAAAAGTATATTTAAAATAAATTTACACCCAATATGTGGTACATGCTTAAATACTTGCAAGAATAACTAATAAATAAATATATTTTAGATAGCTTGTGTTTTACCAGTAGAGATTGAGTTTTCAAATTTCTAGCCATGGTTTAATTCATATCATAAATCAATGAAGCAAAACTTTAAGACCAACACTACTGTAAGTAAAAAAGAAACTCCAGGGCTGGGCCTTGAATCCAGAACCTTTGGCTAACATGGCCAAAGCTCTACAACTAAGCTATTCAAGAATACAAGCAGTTCCAGTCTTCTTTCAGCCATAAGGCTTTTTAACAGGAACATCATGTATTCTTTGATAGCTCAGTTGGTAGAGCATTGGCCCTGTTAGGTCCTGGGTTCAAGACTCAATCCTGGTATTTCTTCTCACTTATTAACTTTTTCATTTACAATAATATTTTCTACCTATGATCTTTAGTTGTATAAACTATTGATGTACTAGGCATTATATCTTGGGTAAGCCTTCCTAGCTTCACAATAATCAAGTGAAAATCACACAATGTAGTGCATGCATTGTACACTGAACATCACTTGATAACTTGGAAAACATGGATCGACACTTCCTTTCAGTCATTGATTCTTTAACCATGTGATCACTCTAACTGTGTTAATCCCTGCCATTAATAGTGGTTAAGCCAAGTACTGGAGTTGTCTCTCACTTAAGATCCAGTGCTTCCTTCCTCATCTAGCTCATCATGAATACCCAGTATTCTCAGCTCCTTTTCTCCTCAGTTTCTGGACTGTCAGTCAGTCCTTTTGCTGATTCCTGGTCAAGCCAATTCACTAGAGGTGTATTGGTAATGCATGGATGCAACCGATCAATTTGCACTATGCATTTTTTTGCATGACACTGAACTGCTGTAGCTCAACAGAACACAAGATAAGGTCCTGTCCAGCAAGATCACAGCCATTAAAACATACAAAAGCCACACCCAATCTTCACAGTGGTACATTCATTCCTTCATCTTCTTATCATAATACCTTTTTTTGTTATTTAGCAGCCTTTCCTATATGTTGACATGCAAGCTAGTGCATGTCAACTAAAGCAGACATCCACATATTCTCATGGACATTGTGTCATCCACTCTAGAAGAAAGGCCATAACTCATGTCTACAGGGAGCAGTATCTCCCACCTGAACATGAACATATTAGACAAGTAACCTAACATTATGATGGTACATATTCTTCCCAGTTTGACTGGGATTAACACTTAGCAAGCATATACATGACAGTCTGTATTACCCATTCTACTAAACCATCAGAGTGAAGATGATAATGCAAAGTATCTTCTCTACATCTAACACTTTAAACAGTTCTGAGAACAAATGGCTGTTGAAATTAGCTACCTGATCCTTATGGACTTCTTCAGATGCTCCAAACTAGGATATCCAGTGCTCTACCAATGTATCTATTATATGCATCTATGCTATATTCCTCAATCTGAATTGGTCAGGTTTTATCTTGATGCACATGAAGTGCCTATGCTAGACATAGGTCCTACAGTTACTTTTCCCAAAGCCTCTGTATTGTTAATCATGGCATCTATCCATTAGTGGAATCTCCTACTGTATGGCTTGTTGTTGCTATGGCACAAATGATTTCAACTTCCACACAGTATCGAGGGTCTGGATTTCAATTAATAGACAGCATTTCACCACGCTGTGAAACAAATCATTGGCACTTCTGTGTTGTGGTCCCAGACTATGCTGTATGAATTAATCATACTACTTCAATGCTGTTACCCAGCATGCAATCTATTCTGGATTTTTTTAAAGTACATTAATCATTTCAGTAATGCATGGGCCACTCATATAGTGAACTTTCTACCATACAAGTAGTGTTAACAATGTTTTATGGTACTGTAATGCTTTCTCACATTTCTCTGAAGTTTGTCTCAACTTTAGTAAGAGCTGATAATGGTGTGGAAATCTTAAAGAACTGCAGAATTCTCACTTGTTCACAGACTGAGGCCAATCTTTCACACTGTTATTTTAGCAGAATCTGTGGAGATTCCATCTCTACCCATGAGTTGATCAAGAAATTCCACTTCTGTGCACATGGAAACATATTTTTATGGTTTAATTTTCAATTGATTTTTTTATTCACTGAAATACCATTTTCAGATTATCAGCTGCAGACTTGAATGAGCAATCAAACAAGAAGTCATCAGCACAGATCGAAGATCTCTCCCATTACAACCCCTTCACTGTAAGCTCAATTAGCCTCTCAAAAGTGGTAGGCATGTTACACAAACAGAATGTCATGATATGAAACTCATACAAGCCACCATACATGTTGAAAGCAGTCTTAGGTCTGCTCTTATCATCCAGCTCTACTTGCCATCATCCAGCTGCAAAGTATAAAGTTTTCAATCAACATGAACAGACCAATGCATTCAGATATTCATCTTTTCTAAGTAGGGAAACTGCATCAACAAAAATTACCATGTTCACCATCTAAAATAAATACAGAATCTGAAGATATGTTCCTTCAGCCTGACAATCATAATGGAAATGATCAAGCACTCCATGAAGTCTGTATGATCCCATTCTGTAACATCAGTTTGATCTAAGCATTGACTACATCTCTAGTGCTTCAGGGAAGTCCATGCAGTGGTCACCTACTCCGTAAAAAATTGCATATTCAGCTGAAATGATGCTGACAGTCACTTTTAGTGGATCTGAACTTGGTGATAACTTCTACTAGACTGATCCAATTGAGATCATGTACCAAAATGATTAAAACTAATGTTCTTTAAATAACTCAGTAATGTCAGACTTACCCAGTGCAATAGCACTACCCACATTCTCACTTGTCATTCAAACATAAGGAAGTTGTAACCTTGAGGCTTCACCTGATCTATTATCACAGGACACTGTTGTCTACATTCATGTACACCTTATAGTACTTATTCCAAATTTGTAATTTATCATATATATGTGCGAGTTTCACATAACACATTATCAAGAAATAATGTTAAGTTTATTTTGTTATAGCTGCCTTTGTTCCTTTGTCATTCTCAGGTAGATAATATCTGTTATGCCTGTGCATGGTATTGCTGCAATGATGTATGTCATGCAAAAATGTTGACAGCAGTGTTCTCCAATGGTAGGTCAGGTGATATCTTGAGGTTATGACCTCCCTTTTGTTTCAATGGGATTGACCAACAGTAACATTAGTGGTGCAGGTGTCCTGACAATATAGTGTTACAAGTAGTTAGAATATAAAACTATGATTTCTCTCAAGCTCTCAATTTAGTAAGTGAAGTTTATGACTTTCCTTTACAAATAGTAATTGTTTTTCAGTTAAAGTAAAGATTGCTTAACTGTGTCCAGTTTCTTTCTTTCTTTCTCAAGCTCAGTCAAAGTCAAGAGAAAGTAAAATTACTTCATAACAGATATCTTGTTGAACTTCCTGTTACAAAGTGGATCTATCTCACTGCTCTAGGGTTAACTCAGTTTTACTTGAATGTACCACAATGTCAATGTTGATTATGTAATGGTTTTCTTTGTTTAACTTTTTCACACGGAGTTAGTGGATTACACCGACTTTGTAAACACCAAATAATCATTAGAGTTTCCATATTATAACTTTTGATATGGGTTTTAGTAAACATTACAAGCATTTTGTACATATTTTTACTAAAAATTTGTCCATGAATATATGGAGTCAGTGTTGACTAGTTCAAGTGTAAAGTAATTTTTCATGTTAAAATTAAGAATACTTTTCCTCGCCTCATAATTTTCCAATTTCATTTGCATAACCTCTAAAACCTTCTAAGTAAATATCAAACATTTTTTTCAGTAAAATTTTATATTTCATCTGTCATTTTCTCTGTTCTTACTCTATTCAGACTCAGTCGATTTGACCACCCTTGTAACCACCATGAAAAAAAATATGCAATAAATCTAAAATACCATTTTCTTTCTTTCTAGAATAACTGCAGATTATAACAGAAAACTATGATTGTTTATCCTAAATAGCTTAAGGTTTGTGAAAGTCTAACCTCTTTCTACTTAATTTTATTGTTTTATTGCTATTTAAATCATGTATAACTAACAATCCCACAAAACAAGTTGTAAGCCATTTAGCAAATGTGTAGCTCAAGTTACCATATTGAATGACATAATGCATGAGCTACTTGCCAGCATACCTTGGAGAATTTTTATTATTTTTCATTATCTTACCTAATGTAACCTTGTCTATCCTAATAAATTTCTTATTTTTATAACAATAAATAAAAAATATACGAGAGAAACAAGAAATCGAGTAATAATGTTTCACCACATTTTTTGCTATCATTTGCTAATTAAATTTACGTATTTTTTGTCATGATTGTACTAGTACATTAAACAATTTTTATTTATTTAAAGTATGCATATAAGAACATAGAATAATAACAAGCATAAAGCAAACAATATCCTATAATTATAATAATTTAACTCGCTTTCTAACTGAGGCATAAATGGCTTAAAATAATTCCTATTGCTACTTCATCTGAACATTGCAAAAGAAACTTTCAAACTGATGATGAAATAGCTAAAATCCTTTACTAAGAATAGTGTAGCATTATATATCATTCAATAGATTAAAACTTTGTCTTTCTATTGATTATAATTGATATAATAGAAAATGTCAGAGAGAATTATTGGGAATTTGTGAAAGACAGGATGTGACAGGTGGGAATGGTAAGCGAGTCTTGATTTTATAGTTTATGTCACCTTAAACAAATAAGATTGAACACTATAAAACTGAGACTTTACTTTAGTAATATTTATTGCACGATGGACAAAAATGTTGTGTACAAATGTCATGATTCTCATACAAAGGGAAATTGGGGATTTATTCAAATATTTCCTTTTAAAATTAAGAAATTAAAACTTATATAATATCAAAATTTGATTTATTAAATATGTTTTGGTGCCAAGATTATTTGAATACATTGATAATAAAGTATGTAATTAAGTTGTTAATACAACTCTCTAAAAGGTTATGATATGTGTACTTTGACCTACCCATAGTGACAGGGTTAAGGGGTGTGATGTCTGTATGGCATGTGTTTTAAAGGGAAAGAGAAAGTTAACACATTCCTCAATCAGAACCCAAGTTTAAAGTTATTTGGTTTAAATTAAAATTAAGTGCTGGTTTAAGGTCAAACCTAAAGTAGAGAAGATAAGAAAGTGTGAACATACTATGCATTTTTATCTTCTCACAGTATCATAGTAGTTATTCTGAATTAATTTTTTTTTGTAAATGTGTAGATTTCACATAACAAGGTCAAAAAAGCCATTAAGATGATATCTTTCTAGCTGCCTTTGTTTCTTTGTTGTTAGGATAGGGATAGGACCCTTGAGGTATGATAAAGGAAGGCTAGTATCTGATGATTATGAGATGGCTGGGTTATTAAATTTTACTTTTTCTTCGGTTTTTACTAATGAAGATTTAAGCAGTATTCCACATCTTGATCAGTTGATAAATGGAAAAGAGATCAAACAAGATGACTGCATTAATTCTGAGCTGGTTAAGAAATGATAAGGCTCCTGGGCCAAATAATATTTCCCCAAGGGTTGTGAAGGAGGTTAAAGATTGGATATGCGAGCCACTTGCTACTATTTATTGTCAGCCTTTGAATAGTGGGCAGATACCAGAGGATTGGAAATTAGCTAATGTAACTCCTCTTTTCAAGGGAGGTAATAAAAATTGTCCTAGTAATTATAGACCCATTAGTCTTACGTCAGTTGTGGGAACAATTTTGGAAAGTCTGTTAAAAGATGCTTTGCAAAGTCATTTAACAAAGTTTAGAATTTTATTGGATAGTCAACATGGTTTCACTAAGGAAAAGTCTTGCCTTACAAATCTTTTAAACTTCTTTAAAAATGTTACTGCTTATTTAGATGAGGGTAAGGGTGTATATTTGGTGCCAAATAAAAGGCTTGTAAAAAAATTAGCTCTATAGGTGTGGGGGATAAGTTAGCAAATTGAATAGAAGAGTGGCTGGATGGAAGAAAGCAGAGGGTTGTTACAAATGGATTTCAGTCAAACTGGATTCATGTCACAAGTGGAGTACCTCAGGGCTCAGTCTGAGGACCTTTGCTCTTTTTGATTTACATCAATGATATAGATGAAGGAATAGTCAATAAATTACTTACATTTGCAGATTATATTAAGGTCTTGGGTGTTGCTAGCTGTGAAGAGGATACTGCTAATTTACAAAAGGATTTAGATCATATAGTGAGTTGGGCAAATAAATAGCAGATTAGTTTTAATTATAATAAATGCAAGATAATGCATGTGAGTTATCATAATTTGAATGATAAGTTTAATTTGGATAGGAATAACTTTAATAGTGTTATGAAGGAAAGGGATCTTGGTGTAATAGTCAATCAGTCTCTAACGCT